TGCGAGTTTCCTGCCATTGGTGCGAGACCCTCTGTGACCACAGCATACTAGAAACTTGGTGTTTGGCATGCAACATGTTTGCTTCTCCCACGTTGTATGCCGGGCAGGGCACTGGGTTCAGGTTTTTTTTTGTGAGCTGATGAGCGCTTCCTTCGCGGTGATGCCAGGAAGAGTCTCGGCAGAGCTAAGATTACAGCCCGATTCACCAGAATATAGGTCAGCCCATTGTCACTATGAAGATGTCCAGTGAAAAACAGGAAGAGGGAGAAACGCGCCCGTCCGAGCGCTCGAAATTCCTGATCGCACTTAACCCCTGACCTGCCAGTAACATTTTATTATTTGCGTGAAGAAAACTTTTTTTTTTTTTCGTTGGTCATTTCATTAAAATAGCAAATAAAGTTAGAATTCATTAAATTTTAAATGAATTTTGAGTTATTTTGTATCTTTTCGATATTTTTGTTACATGTTGGATTTTGCTGCAGGAACACCTTAAAAGCATCCAAAATCTGAACAGTTTTGATTGGTTGCCTGTTTTCTGGTGCTTGGAGAATAGCAGTGACATTTTTCCTCATTTTAGCCTTTGTTTTAACAAAAAAAAAGCAGACGGTGAAAATAAAGATTAAAAAAAATAATGTTTTCAATTTTTTTTTCCATTAGTTATAATGTTTTCAACCAAGATTCACACATATTTCTAACTCTATTCAATTGGAAGAAAGTGTGAATCCGGGATAAGCGCAAACAATGTATCAAATGTTCATAAATGGACCCCTATATACAAAAATGTAAAGAACATTAAAGGAGAACTATGAGGTGAGTGAAAATCACTCATCCTCATAGTTCTAGCCGACATGTGACAATGAAACTGTCACACGTCGGTTCTATAGATCGGGAAGTGAGCGAACACATACCGGCGCTCGCTCACTTCTCGATCATATCCCTGCAGAGAGCCATGACTGTCACTCATGGCTCCCTGCAGGGACTCCCCCGCTCCGATCCTCCAGCGCTGACTGGCGGAACACGAGGGGGCGGGTACAGCCGGCTCTCCCTCTGGATAGGCAGAGCCAGCTGTCACTCACGCAGCTGGTTGGATCTCGACAGTAATGTCGGGATCTGTCCCGGCTGCGGCGTCTCAGTATATAATGAGCTGTAGCTCGCGATGTACTGAGCTTTGGGTGACGGGAGGACGCTAGTTTATGTCCTCCCGTGACCCTTAGGAGAACTATGGGGAAAAACACTTACCCCATAGTTCTCCTTTAAATTAAATCATTGAAAATTCCCCCCAAGACAAAAAAAAACCCAAAAGAAAATGATTTTTTTTTAAATTAAATGAAACAATGGAAACTTATACCCACCCGCACCTCTGCACGCCCCTAGCAGATCATGCAACATTTCAGCCAGCAGGGCAGCAAATTCAGTTAGGGAAAGTGTCAGTTTCATGTCAGGGATTCTGCCACCGGCGAGTTGTCACCGGAGATGGAATCCCAACGTCACATGACCCCAGGGTAGGCAGAAATTAGTCAAAGCTGAACATCACCTCGGAAGGGGTGTCTTCTGTGCTCGGCCCCTACAGGAACTGAACAAAAATGTCATCTGTTTGCTGCAATATGGAACATCCTAATGTGACCGGCTGGCCTTCTGTATTGTGTCCCCAGGCGGAGCTCGGCGACAACCTGCACTATATAATCCCGTTGCTGCACACGCTGATGTACGCCATCACAAAGGTATTTACAATGCATCCAAGCTGTGCGTTTATTTATTCAGGTTTTTACCCCGAACAGGTTTATGGGCAGATCTAAAAGACACAAATGAATGCAGCTCTGTACTTATCAGTACATCATTCGATCTATTTTTTTTAAAGGCGTGCAGTGTAAGTACCTGAATCTGTCCCTGTGCAGCAGAGCTCAGAGAGTGAGAGGAAGAAGCAGCATGAGGAGCCATGTGCTGACAAGAAGCACTCTGATAGGAGGAGAAAGCAGAGCGACAGAGAGATTAGCTCACCACTGCGCTGCTTCTCCTTTCACAGTCCAGTCACAGGTTGGGGGCTCGTCCGGGATGACCTGGTCTCAGTAGAAGCGGGTCAAATGATACTCGTCATCAGAGTGAGGACATGTAGCAGCAGAATTTTTTTTTTACTGAGGGTAAATTGTTGAGTTGACGCTCAGTATTGCTATTTCATCTTTTTTTATCGTATTCATTTTTTAGCTGGCGTTCTGGGGGCGGGTTCAGGACCTGAGCTCAGAAATGGGATGAATAATCCCTGGTTCCGGTATCAGGATAGGCATCGGGAGCATTTGGGCGAGTACGAGTGCATAATAGACAGGAAGTGGCTGCAAAGCTGGAGTGCATATAGACAGGAAGTGGCTGTAATGCTGGCGTGCATGTAGACAGGAAGTGGCTGTAATGAGGCTGCAGGTGGTCAGCAGCACAGAGATGCAACAATGCAGATACACAGAGCTCTAAGCTGGCCATCCTCTGCTCTAAATTTTGTCCAAGTGTCCAAGTCCTGCTGACTCGAGCTGTGTGTGCGCCCACTTCCAAATCAAATTCATTTGGAATGGCACACCGACTCACTAAGGCGATGCGCCTGCGCTGCAGCGGGCCGCAACGTTGTGTTAAGAAAAAAAGGGTCACGTGCGTTTTTAAGCAAGTTAGGGGGCCATTCATTTTGAATGGGCTGCCTTAAAGCCGCGCACGCTACTGCAAAGAAATGGGCCTTTTCAAGGTTTAATACCGGAGAGGTTCCCTTTAAATGCAGCCAGTTGGATACATTGTTACGAGTGTCTTCTCCGTTTTGTTGCCAGGCAGCGTATATCTCAGACGAACTCTACGAGCGGGTGTATGTCTTCTGCAAGAAGATTCTGACTCTGCCCAAACCCTACTGCACCATCGGATTGGACTACGCCCAGAAGATCAAAACCGAGAAGAAAGTGCCAGGTACTGGCAGAGGAGATCTCCTAGCACTCTCTGCACAAAGTGTGACAATGTAACAACTCTCTCTCTTTCTGTCCCTGGGGTGTCCGTGCGTCAAATACATGTGGAAGCTGCGTGGTCACTCCTCCCGCTCAGCTGTCACAGTTCTCAGTGACGAGGGGGGCAGAAACACTTACATAGCTCCTCCCACTGATGCATTGCTCCAGAAGGACATCCGCCCATCAAGGCGTGTTGATATTTGCATAACTCCTCCCAAGAGCCAGCCCACTGCTTGCATCAGGGCTGAGGGCTCTTGAGAGGAGCACTGAAGCCGGGTGCTGTGATGTTTTCAGGAAGCTATGTACAGCACCCTGCTGGCCCCTCCCAAACAACCATCATTTTGGGGTTACGCCATGCGGGCAGTTTACATACAGAAAATACTCCGTTTGGTTCTTTCTTAAAAATACTTTTTTTTTTCCAGGATTTTCTTATCAGAAAATGGTTGTTTCCGAACAAAACCTGAAAAGACAACAGGACTTTCAGCAACAGGACAAGTGAGTGTCATTGGTGTGTCACCATCTTCTATGCGATTACATTGTGTTCATATTCAGATATAGTACAATGGCAGGTGAATGGATGAGTCCCGATGGAAGACCAATGGGTTCTGCTCCTCCCCTTATTAAACAACCCCCTTGGTTCAGTCCTGGTGGCAATCGCCATGCAGAGAGGATTAAAGTGCAACTGAAGCTTTTTCTTTTAGTTTTGTATAGAGTGGAGAGGTATTAGACCCCCCCTGCCAGGTTCCTATTGCTGTCTGCGCCCCTGTTAGGGAGATCCACCCTCTCCGTTATCACTGAAAGTGAAAGAAAAGCCTGAATTGTTGGGTTGTCACCAGAACAGCAATGGATGGAAAATCTTCCAACGGGGACACTAGTTCTGGTGATCCTGCTGCCCGCAGGGGATTTCCCTATCTTTGGAGGGATTTCCTTTCACTTCCTGTGGTGGCTATCAGACAGGAAGTGAAGGGAAATCTCCACAATGGGACACCAATAGTCAAAAAGCTGAGAAGGGTTATAATAACCCCCCTCCCCCTCCTTACTCTATCCATTACTAAAAAAAAAATGTTGGCTTCAGTTCATTGAACGGACATCAACCCAGTTGATGGGAACCTTTCAGTAACTTTACACGCCGGCTGACACACTTTTGACTCCTGCACTCAGTTGCATACCACTGACTCCTGCACTCTGAGTTACATACTACTGACCCCATCACTCTGAGCTATATACTATTGACTCCTGCACTGAGTAACCTACTACTGACCCTCCCAACTGTGTGTTACCTACTACTGACCTCTGCACTCTGAGCTACATACTACTGACCCCATCACTCTGAATTACATATTACTGGCCCATGCACTGTAAGTTACATACTACTGACCATCCCAACTGTGTGCTACACACTGCTGACCCCTGATCTCAGCATTACATGCTACTGACCCCTGCACTGTGTGTTACTTACAACTAATCCCTGCACTCTGCATTACTTACTATTGACTCCTGTATTCTGTTTTACGTATTCCTGACCCCTGCATTCTGCATGACCTACTCCTGACCCTTGCTGCGTTACCTACTACTTACCTTTGAACTCTACGTTACATACTGACCCCTGCCCTGTGCCTTACTTACTCATGACCTCTGAACTCTGCATTACTTACTCCTACCTCTGAACTCTGCATTACTTACTCCTGACCTCTGCATTACTTACTCCTGACCTCTGCATTACTTACTCCTGAACTCTGTGTTTCTTTCTCCTGACCTCTGAACTCTGCATTACTTTCTCCTGACCTCTGCATTACTTACTCCTGACCTCTGAACTCTGTGTTTCTTTCTCCTGACCCCCCTGCAATCTGTGTTTCATACTACTGACCTTTGAACTCTTCACTACTTACTACTGACCCCTAAACTCTGCTAACCTTCCTTACTTTTAATGGGCCTTGCTAGATTATCGCCTTTAAAAAAAGGAAGCATGCTACACCCTGGTGATCTTTGATCTCCTCCTAGTTGTTCAGGTAGATCTCTACCTGTCCAGGGTTGCCTACCCCAGGTGTATTATGTCTGAACAATGGGTTGGCAGCTTCCGCTCCACTTGTATGTGGACCTCAATATCAGTGTGTGTTGCTTCAATTCCAGATCTACTCATGACAGAGGTATGGGGCCGCCATTGCCAGACTCCTATTGGAAGTACTGGCCGGGTGTAGGGAGTGCCAGAAAAGTGCTGAAATGTCTTATTTCTATCTTCTGCTGAGAAAGCGTTGAAGCAAATGCCTCAGTATGACCCCCAGGAATCTTCCAGGTCTCTCTTATGACGGGTGCCCTTTAACTTCTATTCCAAAGTCAGTTGCAGTGACAAGGAATCATCTTCTATTGCAGGGTGCTGCTGTTTCTGGACCCCGGGCTGGTCTCAGAGGCCGTGTGTAACACTCTTCTACGGGAGACCCAAGTGTGTCAGATGTCCCACACCTCCGTCTTATGTATGCATTACGTCATCACCAACAGCATCCAGGCCGGGCTGGGAAATGACTGTGACATAGCTCTGCTGCAGAGGGTGCTAGAGGTAGGTGAAAACGCTGCATTTAGCCTTGGACCGGCCGCCTGCCCAATGTTGGCGTTGACCAGAAGAAAATCTGAGGGGTTTATTAATCTGGATAAAAGTCTAAAGTGTATGTAAACCCTAACAAGGAACTTGCCCTATTTGCTCCCTTTTTGTGGTGTGTTAAATATACCATTGAAAGTGTTTTATGATGTTTATTTGATAAGTGCCAAAAATTATATCAGTTGATCCTTCTAGAAATCCTGTGAGCTGATAACTTCCTGTGCTCTCTGCGTCATCTGACTGTTATCAGTTACATGGTTCCCAGCTCACTCTTTGGCCTCTAGAACACCCCCTCCCCTATTATGGACACGAGAGCAAAGGGTATTCTGTAGTCCTGCCCTAGGGTGACAACGCGCTTCCTCTACAGATACACTAGACCAGGGGTCAGCAACCATGGCACTCCAGCTCCGGTTAGACTACAAGTCCCACAAGGCATTGCAGGACTCTACCAGCCACAGGCATGACTTTCCAGAGGCAAAGGCATAATGGGCTTTGCAGTTTCACCATAGCTGGAGTGCCGAGGTTGCCTACCCCTGGCCTAGTGTATCTGTGGAGGAAGTTTGTTGTCACCCTAGGTCAGGACTGCTTCCATGTCCATAACAGGGGAGGGGTTGTTCTATAGGCCCTGCAATATATACCCTGAAGTAGGGTAAGTGAATGTTGTCACTCTTTGACAGGAAGTGTGTTACTGGCAGGATCACCGGGCTAAATAAAGGGGGGGGGGGAGAAAACGAATGCAGCCGCCACATCTAAAGACCAGTAAGCTGCAACATATTACATTTTTGTTCTTGGGTTGAGATACACTTAGAAATTAAGCTGGAGGGTGGGTAGGGGTGCTGCTGTGATAAGCAGATCCTTAGGCACTCCAGTATTTGTTCACATGACCCAAAGCCGTCGCTAGGTCATGTGACCCACGGCAAGCTCTTTCAATGTTCTCGTGTTCTTTTCTGATTGTTTTGTTTCGTTTCTCTGCTCTTTTTAACCTGGAAAGAACCAAACCACAGAGGAAGTGGAGCTATGGTTCCAGGAAGTTTTGTCTGCGGTGGAGCGAAGTGAACAAGAAGGCGGAGGCAACAGGAGAAGGCACAGCGAGCGCCTCAGGGAGATCTACGACAAGATTGTCACCTCGCCGCAGGAAGGTAAATTCTGGAATCAAACGGCTTACATTGTCTCAGTGCAGATAATCAGCAGTGCAATATGGCCTCAAAGTAAACCTGCAAAAATCAACAGCGGGGTCACCAGCGACAACCATCCTGTGTGACAACCATGGCCCCATAGGAGAAAAGAGTGTAGACACGAAGGGACAGGAAGTGTGTTACTGGCAGGATCACTAGGAGAAAATAAAGGGACAAAACCCTGAAAAAAGGAAAACTGATGCAGCCGCTACATCTAAGAAGCTGCAATATATGATATTTGTGTTTTTGAGATTAGATACATTTTAATTCCCTTCCAACCGGCAACATATATAGCGCCCAGCTTTTCAGCTCTATATCAACCACGTGTGCAGTGTCTACCCTCCCCCCCCCCATTCTTCCCTTCCATACCATCCTCACGACCCATAGCAGCCAAACGTATAGCACCCTCCATTATGTTTAATGTCAATGTTGGTGGCGTAGTTCTTCATTAGTACTGCCATGCCTTGGAGCAGCCGCCATTGTATAACCAGAAGGATTCCCCACTGATGACTCCTTCTTATCAGACAGGTGGCTGCCAGGGACAATTGGGTGAGCAAAGTCCCATGACACAGCGCCAGCAACCCGGTCCTATTGCCCGCCAGTCTGCAGGGCGCCCAGACATCTGGCAAGCACAAAGGATGCAAAACAGGGAAGTCACACTGATAGGGATGATGTCGTTGCGGATTGTTGAAACATTGTTGAAACTGTTCTGCAACTCACACCAAGCCAGGGCTGTAGCTACCATGGGGCGAGTGAGGCACTCGCCTCAGGCGCAGCTGAGAGGGGGCGTAGTCCAGGGCCAACCTGGCTGCGCCCCCTTGCCCCTGTTGCCATGGTGAGCACAGGGCGCCATTGGCAACAGGGGCGCCAGATGTCCAACACTGCTCCGCATTCTCCGCTGCATGGGCAGATGACTCTGTGTACTCAATCTCTTTTTCTATTTCAAAAGGGAAATGTCAGAGGTCTGTTTAGACCCCCCGATATTTCCCCAAAGCTCCCCAACAGTGAAAAAAATAATAAATAATTAAAAGAGGTTCCGCCATCCTGGAGGCGGGGCACATGACGCTGTGCGTGCGTGGCATAGGGTGACATAACACGTCTGTTGGGGGGCACAATTTTCTGTTCTTGCCTCGGGCGCAAAAGGAGCTAGCTACGGCTCTGCACCAAGCACATCGTCCCTGGCACTCATAGAAGGAAGGAGAGGCTGCGCTGGCAGGATGTGGTCACTGTGTGGAAATGGTAATAACTGCTCTTTGATGATATACCACAGAAAGCTATTGTAGGGCTTTCGAGGTGCACACAATCAATTAAATTACATCTCAGAAATTGATTAAGATATACAAATCTTTTATTAGTTATCTTCAATTTAAAAAAATGAGTGTGTCACCACACATAACTGTAGCAGAAGCAGTGAATGCCCCCTATAGAGAGTGATATGCCTTTGGGAGGACACCAATCAAACACTGTATACATCCAAAAGCAGTCAAAACTCCTATTTATAACATCGCATTCTCAATCTAATGCTGCATAGCCATATACACTTATCATAATATCAAAGCGGTTTATATGCGGATGGCTTAATTAAAGATGAAGAGAATGATGAAAGATGG